CCACACCCCACCCACACCCACACCCACACCCACACCCCCCTAGTGAAAATACTCATCAAGCGAGTACGACTTTCCAGCGTGAGTACTCATATTACTCACGCGAGTACTCGAGGAATTTTATGTATATTTTTACTCTCCGTGTACTCTAATGAGTACTCGTACGAGTGTATTTTCAAAAATTTACTCATAGGCAGACAGATGAGTACTCAAAGTCGTACTCATGCTAGTTGTTTCGCAGAATATTTAGCAAAACACTTATGCATTAGCATATAAAAAAATAAATTGGAGCTATATAATAAAAAAAACTAATGTAATAAAATGAAAAATAGAGAAAAGCAATTGAATAAATTATTTATTTTATACTCTATTTTTTTTGGATGAATCATTTGTACGGATGAAACAAATGGTGACTTTAAGATAGAAAAGAATAATGATTTTTCATTTTCATTTGTTCAATTCTTCGGAAAGATTAAGTTTTTTCTAAATATATTAATGTATATTCGTTTTTATTTTATTTCCTAAGCTTAGGCCAAAATTCTTTCATTAAAATGCAATTTTTTTAGATTGATTGTAGAATATCATGGAACACAAGGCAGTTCGCAAATTGTGTGACAAATCGATCGCGATTTTAAAATAAGAAGATGTGTTAATAAACTATAGACAAATAATTTTATTTTGTATTTATTTTTTTGTAAATTTCCTGATAATTGTAAATAGCGATGGATTTAAAAATGTCTGTTTAGTTTTCTAGTGTAATAAGCAATACTGTACGTTCATTTATTGTCACGTTTCTCATCGTCGTTGATTAATTTATTATTTTTCTGCTTCAGTGTACTTTACTGTCCTTAATTTATGTCTTATTGTACTCTCATTCTCTAGGATATAGACAAAGAAATTTTTATTGTTAGAGAAGATAATTAAATATTTCTTTTTTCTTTATTTTATATAATGAAAGTACGTTTTTATTTATTTTTCGAAAGAAAAATGAAAAGAATAAATAAAATTGTATTTTTATGATATGTAAATACAGAAAATATTTAAATTTCTTCGCTCCTAATAAAGATTTCTATGTCTGTAATCTTTACGTTAAAATATATGAAACTGATATCAAATTTGTCGTTCTCATGTTGATCATTTTTCTCAACCTTTCATTATGTCCTCTGTTTGTTGGTAGTATTTTAATATTAAATAAAAATTAATGTAGTACAACGGTACTAACCAAAAATATGCTTATAAGCATCTTACATAGGTCAGCAGAGCACACAGATACTAGATAGTAGTACTCACAAAACACTCAATATTACACAGCGAGTACTCGACTGTCGTACTCAGATACTCAGATTCTAGCAGGAGTACTACTGATGAGTACTCAAAATGCGTGAGTACTCGTGACATTTTCTAGCGTGAGTACTTTTTGAGTACTCGCCTATGAGTACCTTCACTAGGGCACCCTTTGTGAGAGTTAATTGATAATTTTAGTTTTATATATATCAACAGAATTAACATATTTTCTCACTAGTTGCTACATTCATCAAATAGTGTGATGCTTGTCTTCTTCTCTTCTTTTTTTCGTTTTCTTATCTTATTTTGGTGATTCAAACTGTCGCTAAAAGTCAAGGCGAGAAGAAAACTTAGAAATCAGAAGAAACCAGGAGAAAATCCCAAAAACCAGCTCCTGGTACCCGGAGATTTTTGACTAGGTGAAAAGCTTCAAAACCAGGAGGTTTGGCAGCCCTGATCGTAATGTACTATTATGTATCTTCATAAATTGGTTGAAACAATTAGAATTCGTAGAACTTGCATTCTAATGTATTGTACTGTATTCAGTGAAAAAAAGTTGAATTTCATACTTTTCAGTCATGTACAATACGGGGTAAATGACACTGTCCATTTTGAATTCGTACGGCTCTTCTCTGTAAACACATCCACATCCTCTACTATAAAAAGAACTGAAGAATAATAAAGCCTTGCGTTTTCATTTATTACTTAGTGAATAAATACTTTTTTTGAATTTATGATCGTAGCGACTCCTCATAAACTCTATTAGATTGTAAGTTTTTTAGTTTATAATATATGACTCACGACATATCAAAAGTAATTCGATTATTTCAACTACTAAATCTACCTATGTAAAACGAACGAAATCCAATCACATAAATAAAAAACACTGTCAGCAAAAAATCTAGCCATAATCAGCTCAAACTAATAAGAGGGTAGTTTTTAGCGTCGACTATTTTGAAAGAATGCATCGAATAATTCATCAAAACAGATAAATACGCAGCGAAAGAAGACTGTGAGTCAAATGGACTTAGAAGAAGACTTATGCCGGAATACATAATCTTTACAGTCTGTTGAGTGATTCTATTATTTCTAATGAAACTCTTGTACATATATGAAAAATTTTAGTTCGATTGATAGAATCATTCATAAAACACAAAATTTTTAAAATGATATCGAATTATAATATTCATTATGTAAGATTTTAGTAAAAAATCGATATAATATATAGAATACTTAATATTATTGAAAATGATTTGACATGAAGTGAAGTGATTGTTGCATCTACAGCATATGATAAATAGATCGAAACATTCGTAGCTTGATTGAACTATTATCCATTTCAAAATAAAAGAAGGGTGAGTATTTTTGATGGAAATTAAATAGAGATCTGCGGTTTTCACCATTTAAAAGGAACGGTGAAACTACAACGAATAACCAATACCAGATTTCTCTGACACGCTTTTTTCATGGTCCTCTGATGATTTTTCCGGCAACAAAACATTGCGTAATGTAACACTTTTAAAATCTTAGTTTTTAGTAGCGCATGAGGGTCATTAACGAAAGCTCAATAATCTCTGTAAATCGGATGCTAAAAGATTTATCTCATCACGTGTTATGAAGATTTTCCTAAATATCTCTGACATATTTTTGAAAGAAAAAATTTGAATTTTTTCTGACAAAATCCATCTTTTAAACCTATTCAAATGCTTCAGTTTTCTAAAACCCTTAATGGTAGACTCCCAAAAACGTTACCAGAAAAATTTCATATTGGTAATTCAATGTAGTTTTCACTGCCTCTTTTAAATGATGAAAACTGCAAATCTCTATCTAGTTTCTATCGAAAACTATTCAAAAAATATTCACCATTCTTATATATTGAAATGAATAATAGATTTACTTTGCATTGCATAAACTGGTCCTTAAGTTTTTGCACGTTTTTTTTCTTCTTTCTCAACAGAAGTTCGTAATTTAAAAAAATCAATATCTTTGTTTTATAACCACTTATATAATATTTATAGTGAGTTCTATAACTATATATCGATATAAGGAGAAACAGATATTTGGTCGATCATAAAAATGCACTTAAGAAACTTTCTTTTCATCTCTGCTAAATACTTCTAATAAAAATGTAGTTATGAATTCAAGTATAATTCTTAAAAATATAAAAACAAAATTAATCTCAATAATCGTTCAGATGATTGTTAACTATGCAAAAAGTGCACAAAAACTATTAGAAAATAATAAATAGTTAAACAGAATTACAAGATTAGTATTCTATGTTAAAAAAGAGAAATAAATATGCAATCTTCTTCATCATGTGTGTAATTTAATAGAACTTACTTGGTGTTTCAGGGATTGAATTAGATGAATCTGATAGTGCAACATTTTTAATTTCTTGTTGTGTTTCTCCAGAAACTCGTAATGGAGACAAAACACGCATTTTTTACTTAACTACTTGTTTAACTGTTGTTGTCGATATTGTTCTTGCTCTATTTATTGTCGATTGTTGAGAAAAGAATGAATATAGATAACAATTTATAATTTCTACTTTCATCTTAAGAAGTTTTATTGCACTATTATTGCTGTTTTATTTTTCATTAGATTCTCAATGCTCTTATATTGTTCTTATCTCAATGCTCAATTTATCGAGACACATTTCAATATATACCAGCTACTTCAAATTCATTCGCAAAACGACAAGAGCGTTGAGTATTGATATTCTAAATAGTTTTCTCATCTGAATTAAAATATACTATGTTATACATATTGATTTTGTAGTTATTCTTTAATTATCTTATGTCATTTGTTCCAAGTCTCTCTAGAATATATACAATACTATGATAGTACTATATCTAATTTTATTCTTTGGTAATTATCAACTGAACCTCTATCACTACTCACTGACACAATTTAACTTCTCTCTATTTGATAAACTAAAATAGAACTCAATGAAATAGATTGTTGTTTATTAAATTCATGATCACTCATCATCGAATAAAATCTAATATAATGATAGACACATCAGTGAGATGAAGAATGAGTACTAATCAGTTGTTCATATAGGTGAACAGCTTATGTGAGTTTTTGTTTGATCTTGATCTTGGTCTTTAGAGATCGTTGTGGATGTTATAGAGCAGCCTCTATCGATATTTTGACTCAGATCCCATATAATAATGATTATCCGTATGAAAGGAAAATTTACACTAAGATCCTAATGTCTATTTCAGAGATAAATGGCCGTGGGTATTTTTCAAATAATTTTTGATAGGAATGAGATAGAGACTTGTGCTTTTCACCGTTGGAAAGAACAGATGAAAATGCATCGAACCATATATAGAAACATTTTTCTAACGACTTTCTTGAAGGTTAACATAAAAGTTCAATAAAAACAGGATGCCTCTCATGATTGCGATATTAATTTATTGATTTTCAGGAGTGTACTTGAACCGGCCAATGAAGAGCTACAAAAAATTATGGAAAGGTTCTAGTCCTAACTCCTACCAATAAGTTATTCTAGCTATTGGAGTACAATAGTCGAAAAATGAAGGTTTTTTGTCGTATTTCGATAGAAAAATTACTTTTTTAACGTTGAAGAAAAACGCAATTCTCTAAAATCGTTTTACTTAAAACCTCCAGGAAAGTCGTTAGAAAAATGTTTCTATATATGGTTCGATGCATTTTCATCTGTTCTTTCCAACGGTAAAAATCACAAGTCTCTATCTCATTCCTATCAAAAATATTCACGGCCATTTATCTCTGAAATGGACATTACTAGAATGAAGTAGAAATATTCCATTGACTATCCTTTCGAATACACATAGTTGACTGCCGACTTTTTCAGTGATACTATTTCACTGAAAATATATATAAAATATATCAAATCAACAAGTTGTGTCCAAGATGATTTTTCGAATAGCTATATGCTATATTATTCATATTGTCATACGTTTTGACTCACAAAATCTAATGAAATGTGTCTTAGTATGTGTATAAATAAATGCATTTTACAGACAGAAATAAAATGTGGTACATACTATCGGAAAGTCAATAGAGTTCAATACTATATGTTGATTGAGTTCACATAAAAATGTTCTTGAAACCTTTTTTTAGTGTCATTTAATAATGCATGTTCTATTATAGTTTCTTTCTCTCTAACAGAAGAAGATGGATATTCTAAAACCACTCATGATTTTATTGATTGATAAATAAACTATTCACAATTATGAGTAATTTATAGGATCAAGAGAAATATAAAATGGTTCTAAATCTTCAAAAGAGTTTCATTATCGTATACTTTATTTTGATGCTGAATCTATTTTTATGACGTTGATCGCAGAGAAAATCACTTAAATTGATGTGAAGTATTTTTGAAGACAACCATACTTACATAAATTTAAAATAGCTTTATTCATTTCATTCAATGATAAACAAGAGATAATCAGCGTCTCCTAATTGACTTATGAATTGCAGCTAAATAAGTTTTTCAAACATGAACATAACATTCCAACCTGTCACTTGTCATTTGATTGAAATTTTTCTGACCAACAAAGATTGATATCACGATCAATTACTTAATGTAAACCATGTGAACTAGTAGCATAAAATTATCTACTAATAGTTCATTAACTCTTTTTTCTTTTTAACAAATATTTTTATTCTTGAATACATCATATTCGAGGTATGATTGCAGAAAAATATAATTTGAGAAAAAAGACAAAAGTAAGATTCGACCTAGAACATACCAAACGAATGTTAAAGTACTTCAATTCCTCAATGTTTCTCTATCACACTTATTAGTGTCGTATTTTTTCTAATAGACATGAACTAGGACATGTCTATCTTGATTATATTATGTAGTAATTCATATTTCATAAGAGATCATGAACTGTTAAGTGTTTTCTTAATGATTTATTCAGTTTCTAAATGCTAAACTTCGACTTTTTTTTGAAGAAATGACTATGCAATTATTAATGATTGAATGCTAGGCAGTTGGAATTGAGTTTTATTGACAAGTGCAATTCTAAGATTTTATATGATTGATGCACCTTCATAGTTTTGTAGTGTTTCTTATATTTTGAAGAAATCTAATCTTTTTTGATAGAAGGATATTGATTAATTGTGATTTCGAACAAGTATTTTTATTTATTGTTTATAACAATTATCATATTCGTTGTTATCATTGAGTTTTATATCAAACAAAAATTTGTCAAAGATTAGTATCGAGAAACATCATTTGTTTGGAGAGCTTTCGTTTAGTCTAAAATTCATTTATATACTCTATTTGAAATAAAAGTCCTATACTCCTAAAATAATGTTATTTTCTCTTCTGTACATTTCAGTATATTTATTGGTGTATTATTTCGACAGGATCATTATCACCCTCAATTATTTTGTTTTTCTTTCTTCATATATTGAATATGTATTACATCGATAGTTGTATACATATGTATTGTAAAAAGATAAGAGAGAGAGAGAGAAAGGAAATAAAATTATAAAGGTTCTTGATGGAAACGTTTTTTTTTAAATTTTTTCTTGAAACTTGAATATGCACCTTTGTAATATTATCAGTTCATTCAATTATAGAAATTAGTCTGTACTATAAAATTACTGTTTACTTAATGAAAAATTCTTTGAGTATTAAACAACAATACATAAATCATATTCAATTGAGAAAAATTTTACGCGATTTTCAATAGTTAAAATTTCTTATATCGATGACTATTTTCATTTTTCTATATAAGACTCCGATTATATTAGAATATTAAAAAAAATCCATATACTCAATGACACCTTTCGTACTAGATGATAGTTAATTCTGAATTTGACGATAGTTAAGATAAAACAATATAGAACAATAAGCATTTTCAGTTGTTATTTGATATACCCTTTATTTATTGTTTAACAAATATGAAAATATAACCATACATTCTCACATTTGTATGCTTTCATTTCATGAAGACCTACTGAACATCCTTGAAATATTTATTCTTTCTGTGCCTTTCTCCATATACAATTAGTGTCATTAATCATGAAGATTAAAGATAATTGCTAGTTAAATGAAAGGCGAGCTTCGAAACAATACATATTTTCAGTTGATGTGATAGAATGGAAGATTTATGCATTCGTAATACACATTTTTTGTGTTGAATCATTCAAGCATAAAAGTGTAAAAACCTTTATATCACAATAGAAAAGGAAAAAAAAAGATTTATGTGTATACATTTTAATGTGCGATGTCTGTTGATAAATCATTGAGTAAACAAATGAATAGTGATAACTATAGTTCCACAAGTATTGAATTTGTTGATACTAAACAAGAAGAAAGTGATGAAGATACGGTTAGCTACAATACCGTGGCTACTCATCATACATTTAAAGTTGAACGGGTATGTTTATTTCATATATATGATTAATAATTAATTAACAGATAGGATATTCAACTAATTTTATTGAGAAAATTTTCTAGAGTTTACTAAAGTAAAAATAGGAATTCTGATAAAAAAAAAAAACTTTCTTGAAATGCTAATATTAAAAAAAGTACTTTATTTCTGAGAGAAACATCTATCTCATTTTTTTTTGGTTATATATTCATTCGATTATTTCGAGAAACGATTAACTTATGTAATTTCTACAAAATCTTATTGAATTTTAACGGTAGATTATTGCTAAAATAAATTCAGTTCATTTATTTTTATTATAGTACATGTCCTTTAATTATCATGCATTCGTGTATATAAATATCACAATATATAAGAAAGAGAGAGAAGAGACAACAATAACAATAGAAAAATTAGAATGAAAAAAAAAGGATCAAAGACAGGATGAAGATGAGTCACTACTAACGTTTCTTTTCTCTCCTAGAAGATGTATATCGACACATATGAAAGATTAATTCACTAATCTCTTCCATAAACTGAATATATTCATGTTTCCTATCAATTTTATACACTGAAGAATGTGCCGAATTAATAATCATATATTTAATTGTAATCAATTTGTAAATGAATAAATTTTGTTGATAGTAAGAATTTAGTTGTTGTTTTTTTTTATCATTATTGATAAGTATTCAATGATACATGTTGAAATTTATTGAGTGTATACAATTAAAATCTAGAGATTCAATATTAAATATAAATTGACGATACTTTTTTTTTATAATGTGAATAATTATTGTGACTGTATGAATTGTTGAATACATTAAATGATTATGTCTCTTATCATTAGATATTAGTACCTTACAAAATACTGAAGTGTTTCAAATATATCGGGTGGCCCATAAGTAAGGAAAGGGAACAAAAAAAAATTGAATATCTATAATGACTTGACCAAAGAAGCTCATTTTGATAGCAAGGCTAGAGACCTATTCATACAGACAAGGTTAATGAGAACGTTTGTAAGTATCACTATTGATCTGAACAAAAAATTTAACTTTTTCACAGA